TCCTCCTCCTCCTCCTCCTCCTCCTCCTCCTCCTCCTCCTCCTCCTCCTCCTCCTCCTCCTCCTCCTCCTCCTCCTCCTCCTCCTCCTCCTCCTCCTCCTCCTCCTCCTCCTCCTCCTCCTCCTCCTCCTCCTCCTTGTTATCTCTCTTGACTCCTCGTCTTCCATTCTTCTCTGTGGCCTGCGAGCATCGCGTTCTTTCCCATCCTCTCTTTCCTCAACCTTACACTCATTTGCGCCTTCAGAGGGACGAGCTTCAGGCTCTCCGTGAATCTGTACGCCGATCGGTGAAACCTCCTCCTTCTTCCTCCTTCCTCCTCCTTCTTCACTCCTCCCCCGCGTTGAACTCCCTTTCTCCTCGCTCCCTCCTCTTCCCCCCCTCTTCCTCCCGCTGACATACCTCGCAGGAGGAGAAACATCTCAACATCTGCACGAATCTTGTCAAGCTCCAGCATGGTGAGGCTCAGGAGCCGCTGGGGCGAGCGCATAACAAGCCTGCCTCAGACCTTGTGGAGGACATGGAGGTGATCGTTAGAGAGTATAAGATCAAGGGGATGCCCAAGGTGAGAGTCTCAGCTGGGGCTGAGCTGGGCTCATGTCAAGTGGCAGTGGGATGAGACCAAGAAGGACTTTCTCCTCGCCTTCTGTGAGGCTCAGGTGACTCATGCATGGACTCATCACGGTCTAATGCCCTGCTCCCTCCTCCTCCTCCTCCTCCTCCTCCTCCTCCTTCCAAGTCTATCCTACTCGCGATCTTCTCGCCCACTGTCTTGTCCGCCCTCCCTAAACCCAATTGACCTGCAGGTGCTCAAAGTTGCCAAGCTACAAGCAGAGATCCGACATGACACTTACAACTCGCGGACAGTCCCAGCTCTGAGCAGGTGTGGAGCCTTTGCCCTGCCTTGGCCTCCACTTTACGTCACGTGCAGGATCCTCGAGCTTCTCCAGCAAGCCAAAGCAGAGGCACAAGCTGAGAAATCAAACTTGGAGAAGCAGCTGGCCGGTGCTGCTGCTCGTTTCCCCTGCGAATACTCAAGAGTTTGTGCAGAGTATGAGGCCGGAGGCAGCATGATGGAGCGACTAGCGCACGAGTACGTCACCCTCAACTATTCGAAGTCTTGTCATGACCTCTACTTCTTCCTCTCCCTCACGAACGTTCTGCACTCGCTCGACTGCTTCTTTCCTCTTTCATGTTCCTCCTTTCTTCTTGCAGGATGGGCGAGCTGAAGGTGCAGCTGAAAGAGAAGCAATGGGCGCTTGAGCAGGTATACATGAAAGCAAACTTCATGTATCCAAGGTGACGTGGAGCAGGTAAAGAAAGGAGTTCTCGATGGTTTTTAAACTTCACCCCTTTGCATCTAAATCTTCTCATTATCATTGAAATTCATCGAAGTCTCGTTTGCCCACCCATGCTACCTCCTTCGTTCCCCCACGTTCACCCGCAGTTCCCCCCTCTTCTCAGATCTCTCAGCCTTGTTACTTGGGAGCTGCCTTCTCCGGCTGATCTCGCAGTCGAATGTTGTGCTTCGCTTGAAATTCCTGCATCTCCTTCTCCTTTTTCTGCAGCCTGGCGTACAAATCATCGCAGAGCGCCTGCAGCTGTACGTAGAGGATGAGACGAGAAAGATGGAAAGTGAAGAACTTGCCTTGTCCATGTTCTCCTTTACTGCAGGTAAGACTGTTGAGACGGTTCGCTCTGTGAGAACTCCGCCAACCATCCTAAGAAGAATGAGAAGAGGCAGGAGAGGGAGACTGAGATATCTCGCCTGTAACACTTCCTCTCCCCCTCCATCTTTGAGAGAGTCTCCACGACCAAGCTGTGCTCGTGGCGCTCCTGCAAACTCCATCGTCAAACCACCAGATCTCCTGGTGGGGTCATGCGCATGCGCTATGCTTGCATGTCTGTGTTACGTGTATGCAGCAAGAGAGGGTGAGATGGAGTAGCCATGGCACATGGTGATCAGTGCAACCCTCGAGGTGTTGCGGAAGGAAGGAGGGTGCAAGACAGCAGAAAGAAGAACATGAGTTGAGGTCAGTAGGCAGAGAAAATTAAACAAACGACTTGGGTTGGGGAAGAGGCATTCGAGGGGAGAGCACTTGAGGTCAGGAAAGGTTGAAGGTATAACGATGAAATGGAATCATTAAACAGATCACCAAGACAAGTTCAGACTTTAGGCAGGATGAAACCAGTGAGCACGGAAAACAGGAAAGTAGACGGGAAAGTGCGTCAAGGAGGAAGCAGAAGGATAAAAGGCACCAGCGGGATGGTGAGGAGCGGGTAGTGCGAGCAGCAGGAGCGCGGGAGTGACCGGAGGGGAGGAGCAGGAGGGTTGCAAGGAGCAGAAGGATGGAAGAGACCTGGTCAAGCTCGTTGATCTTCATTCCCAGCTGATTCGCTTCGTTCTTCATCTCCTGCAGTTGCTGCACCACCGCCTCCGCCGCCTCCGCCATCCCCGCGAGCCTAGAAAACACCCCCTGGTATCCACTACCCCCAGGTAAAGACCCCCGAGGATGAGTACCTTTGATTTTGCCCATAGTACCCGTAACTTTAACTTCTTTTAAACCGGTACTTAGTTACCCTTGCATACCTTTTCAATGGTTGAGGACCCCCTACCCCTTCCAATATTTCACCACTCATTGGGACGTTTCCCGCGTTTTTTGTAGCAAATGGCGAACGACCTGGTGGACGGAGGAGCGAGGAGCGAGGAGCGAGGAGGGAGGAGGGAGGAGCGAGGAGCGAGGAGAGAGGAGGGAGGAGAACCACGAATGAAGAGGAGTAGAACGAAGAGATGGAAGCAACGATGGGAGGATGATGTTGGGAGGGAGGGGGGGGGACGAGAAAATGGTTGGATCGAGGATAGACGTATAGTTGCGGATTTATTCCTTTCCCCCTGTCGAAGCACAAAGTGAAGGTTGATTCCAGATTTGGGCTGGAGTTATTCAGGATCCTAGACCATGTTAGGCTGATAATGCGCTTCGGCAAGAGAATTTGCGGTTTCCATCACATTGTCTTTGCGGGAAAGTTATTGTCTACCTTATGCCTCATACCTGAGAGCCCTGAACCTCTGAGAGGGACAAGTCCTTACAAAGTTCAGAACAGGTACTCAACCAAAAGACCAGGACTGATGTCGCCGGTACGGGCGTCCCGTCCTTTCACCCATCAACCCGACAGGAGCGATGCGTTTTCCCAAGACGTTCTGAAGCAAAAACTCAAGCACTTCTTCGGATTCGAGAGGTGGTGTTGCGTTCTTGTGCCTGTGAAATTCTGAAGGAAGTTTTTGTAGCTTTGTTGGAGAGCAAGAGGTCATTTGCAGAGCAGCTCTTCAAGGGCGGGATTCTGCTGTCTTTTGGGCTACTGGATCGGGCAAGAGTATTTGCTACCAGGTTTGCTCTGATTCCGAAATTTCTAGATGTGACCTTGTATGATAGTTGCCGGCCTTCGTCTCAAACAAGACAGTCGTTGTTGTTTCCCCTCTGATCAGCTTGATGAATGACCAAGTGAATGCAATCAACCACAAGGTTGGGTCATTGATGCCAACGGGGAAGCGGGCAGCTGTATTCCTTGGGCAAGGGAACAAAGATCCAGACGCGGAAAACCTTGCTCGCAGTGGACGTTGTGCATTGCTATACTTGACCCCAGAGAAAATATTTGACGGTGGATTTTTGAATCAACTTGAGGCTCTTGCTAGTTCAGGACAGCTCGCTCTTTTTGCTATTGATGAGGTGATTTTGCTGCAAACAATGCCCATTTGGATCTGATTCTCTCTTGTACTTGCAGGCCCACTGTGTATCACAATGGGGTGTAGATTTTCGACCATCGTATGCTTTGCTACGGAAGCTACGTGAATCATTCGACAATGTTCCCATCATGGCTTTGACGGCAAGTGCTGTGCCAAGAGTTCGCGATGATTTATTCAGTATATTGAATCTAAGATCTCCTATCATCAGTGTGTCTACTTGTGATAGGCCAAACTTGAAGATTACTGTTAGCAGGAAACAGACGTTTGCTGCAGATGTAAATTATATTTGTGATATTCTATCGAAAATGTCAGGCTCAGCAATAGTTTATGTTGCTACCACCGGAGAGGCGGAGAAGTTATGTACTGCTATTTTGCAAAAGTCGGAGAATAAGATAACAGCTCGTTATTACCATGGAAAAGACAAGATGGAGGCAAGGGATACAACGCATCATCAGTTCTTGACGGGAGTGATCAAGGTAGTCGTTGCTACTACTGCCTTTGGAATGGGTATCGACAAGCCAGATATTCGATGTGTCATACATTACGGAGCTCCCAAAACCTTTGAGGAATACTACCAACACATTGGTCGGGCTGGGAGAGATGGATTGCAGTCTGACTGTATCATGATCTGCTCCGACAGCGACTTTTCTAAGTACAACGACGACTTCTACCTCAATGGATTGAGTCAAGACAACAAAGTGGCGGTGAAGAACTCCACGAGCTATCTGCGAACGTTTGCGATGGAGCAGGACAAGTGCAGGAGGAAACTGGTCTTGGACTTCTTTGGAGAGTCATCAGCATGGGGGGATCGATGCGGGGATTGCGACAACTGTGCTAAGATTGCTACGAATGGGGCGAGTTCGAGAGATTTCAGCAAGGAGGCATCTGTCCTTCTCAGGGCGATTGAAGCATTTGGAGTGAAAAATCCAGCTGTGACTGCAATCTTTCAGTATCTTTCACAAGGAGAAATCAAGTCTGCGCCGTCTTCACTCTGCCCTGCACTTCGAGAAGAGATCAGAAATGAAAGGCAAAAACTATCGCCTGTCTCTCGCAAGGATGAATGTTTGAAAGATATCTTGGCTTCATTGAGAGAAAAGCAATTGATCAAAATCTGTGTCGAGAGGTATCAGAAGTACACATGGGAGGGATATGCTGTCACTGAGAAGGGAAGAGAGTTCCTGAGGTCTCCCCGGGCTTTGCTTCTTCCGATACCAGCCTTGATTATGAAACAAGAGAAAATACTTGAGGAGAAGGTCTCAGATGCGATTCAAAAGTTCTCCGCACGAGGTATCGCGATCGAACAGATTCCTGCACACGAGCTGAAGGAAGGCAAGGGGATTGTGTTGGATATGCATTTGATGTGGATTGCGGTCTTGGAGAAATACCGAGCTCGGGGGCGTGAAGATCTTGCAAAGACGCTGGAAGACCTGCTGAGCGCTATCATCGAGTGGAGAAATCAGAAGGCTATCAAAATCAATGTTTCTCCTCACATGATCTTTCCAGACCACTTGGCAATGCGCATTGCCTACTCGAAAGCAAAAAGCGTAGAGGCTCTGAGAGAATCGGGAATCAGGATTAACGACATTGATGAGTTGGCCGACCTCATATCATCACATTTGAAAGCAAATATAGACAGTGAGTCAGCAAAGGATTCTGAAGCTGAGGAGACGAACGACGATTATGACAACGGGATGGAAATGCTTCTCATGGAAGAAGTCTTCACTACCAAGAAGAGCTGGAAATACGCTGTTTACAAGGTCAGCGGCAGATGACTACATTGTGGTTTCAGGATTATGATGAATCTGATGAAACATGTAGACTGGGAGGGGAGGAACGATACCCAAATGGGAGCAATCCTATGAAAGATTCAAGAATGGTCTAATACCATCTCCTTAGTGTGCTGTGTATCGTGAATTTTCCTCTGCAGGGGAACATATTGAAGCCATTGCTATGAATCAAGAAAGCGGCAAGCCTGTGCAGGTTTGATTTTATTCGACGAGGGCTGCACTGTGTCTGATGCTCTGGCAAGGCTGAAACCATCGTCAGGCACATACTAGATGCTTTGCTGCATGCAAACAAGACTGTCAATCTCCGAGGCCTTGTGGAATACATGGGTGAGGGCTGCTTACCAAACCAGAAGGAATGGGAGGCTATGGAAGATGCGGTGCGTGCTTGATCATTCACGACTCCAGGTGTTGTTCCTGACCTCAAACGTACAGGCAGCAGTACATAAAATAGACCCCGTCAACCAAGAAACTTTGCCGATGAAGGAGGTAATGTTGAACCAGGGAGAGGGAGAGGGGGAGAGTGGAACAGGACAGATCGAGGAAGGGGATGCTTTATGCTGAATTAACAAAACGTTTATTAATTCATATATTAGATGATGCTTACTATCGTGGGAAGAGCGGAGATCCCACACCAAGACAAGACAAGCAAGGAGCAGGAGCAGGAGCGTACATGGTACGACAAGATCAGGTGAATCTTATTTGAAACACTCTTCCTCTCATCTCTCGCTGACCCCACTGGCCTGTAGATGGTGGGCCGCTATCAAGAGAGCTGAGATCCCCTTCTCCTTCCAGAAGCGCGGACTCGACACCCCGCCCACCAAGAAGCGCAAAACTGCCCCACAGCTGTAAACAACGCCCCCTGGTCCTCTAGACCCTCAAGCTGTCCCAGAGCTCCCACTGCTCCCCTGCCATTCCACCTCTGCCCATGTCCATCAGTCCTGCTTGGCTGGGTCCCAGATCTTCCGGAAGGAGTTCCTGTGGCGCTCGTGCAGCGACAGCGACAACAGCGAGGCGGCATTGAAGATGAGGAAGAAGACGCAGAAGTAGGCGGTCTCGTATCCTCGCTTCTCAAGCAGACTTGGCCGGATGAAAGTTGCAAAGTGACGTGACAGCGTTAGGACTACCGTGTTGAGAACGTGATGCCTCCAGCTCCACGACACGACTGTCGACGCCAAAGAATTGACAAATACAGACAGGAAGGATTTCTCCAAGGAGACGTCAAAGAGAAAATTCTCAACTAGCACTGTAAAGATTCTGAGTCTCACCATCCACACCATCAGCCTCGATGCCCTCCTCTTCACCTCCCCTGTCCATCGGCTCCACCGCATCGTTGTAACCCACCCCACCCCGATCATCCCCATCCTCACAAGCATGAACAAGTCCTCCGCCTGCAGCGGCCGCCGCTTCCATGCCCTTGACATGAAGTACATCCCATGGAAACAACTAGCGACTGCAAGGATAAACTGCATGAAAGGCACCATCCCGCGGTACATGGAGTCAATGAAAAACTGCCCGTATGCCTCCTCCATCTCCCTATCCTCGAAGCTCTGCGCCCCCGCAGCGCGCCATGGCATAAACACGCTCTCAAGCATGTCTGAGCTCGCCGCAGCCCCGACGCTCCCCAGCCTCTTCCCGCCCCCTCCACGCAAGCCGCCATCGTCGTATCCCCTCTTCTCTGACCTCGGTTGCACCCCCTGACTCTGCTCGCTTGAGAGCTCGCGATGCCTCGCGACGTCCTCCCTCGAGTGCGCCGTGTCGGGCTCGTCGATGCTCATGGTACAAGGATGTCACGAGCGCGAGATGTCCTGAGGGGCAGGGAAGGCGATAGGAAGGATGTGAGGTACGAGGCAGGGAACAGACAAGCAGTGCTAGAGGGCGTGAGGGAAGAGAGATGGGATGTGTATGGAAGTGGACAGGAGTTAGGCAGTAGGGTAGGATAGGAGCGTGTTGCAGGAGGGTTGGAACGAAGATCGGAGTCTGACTGGGAAGAGGAAGATGCAGAAAAACGAGTTGGTTGGGGGAATTGACCACTACCACCCCTGTTTTATGATTGATGGCTTTCAACTTGTTCTTGGAAGCGTAACCTGGCAATTTTACTAATAGACACTATAGCAAAACTGGACCATGTGTGGACCTTTGCCTCCATTTCCTCTTTTTCCTCGAACGTACACCCCTACTCGCCCTCCCAAATAAACCCCACCCCCTAATATCCCGACATAGTATGAGCTTCCAATCATTGCCTGCCTTATCCTTCTCAGTTTCTATAGTGATGACAATATGTAAAGTACCATAAGGTCATACCCATCCCTTCACACCTACCCCCAGGGTTAAAAGGGCTTTCGGAAGCGGATGATCAGTCACGACACCGGGTCACGTTACTGGTGGTGTCCATGGCAAGAAATATCAGTGGACGATGGTCGAGGCAAGCAGCCACATGGCAGATGAAAGAAACCCAATCACATGTTGAGCTGTCATGATTGATCAAGGTAGTCGTTGCTACTCTATACATACTCCTGTATCTGATGGCTGAGAGAACAACATGGGAGGGGCGGTTTAACCTCTCCGATCAGCGACTTTTCTAAGTCACTGTACAACGACGACTTCTACCTCCATGGTTTGAGTCAAGACAACAAAGTGGCGGTGGAGAACTCCACGAGCTATCTGCGAACGTTTGCGATGGAGCAGGACAAGTGCAGGAGGAAACTGGTCTTGGACTTGTTTGGCGAGTTGACCTCGTATCTATCAACAGCATCGAGGAATCGATTCACTGAAATATCCTTTACAAACATTCTCTGCGGCGATTGGAATACATGACATTGAAAAGATGTACCACATTGGTAACCTGCTCAATCTCATTTCATCAAAATTGACTGCAATCACTGCGACAAAATGTGTACGAGATTGAGTGTCAGATCAACGACAACATTGACAGTAAGAAATTGGAAACGATTCTTCCTGAAGAGGCCTTGACTTCGAAAAGCATCTTGAAACAAGATTTTATTGTTTGCAAGGTAAGTGACATGCCTTGTTGAGATGCTCAATCAGCATTCCATCAACATCACACCAACTTAATATTCATTCCTCTATCAAAAACTACCTCTCATCTCTCGCTGACCCCACTGGCCTCTAGATGGTGGGCCGCTATCAAGCGAGCTGAGATCCCCTTCTCCTTCCAGAAGCGCGGACTCGACACCCCGCCCACCAAGAAGCGCAAAACTGCCCCACAGCTGTAAACAACGCCTCGTGGTCCTCTAGACCCTCAAGCTGTCCCAGAGCTCCCACTGCTCCCCTGCCATTCCACCTCTGCCCACGTCCATCAGTCCTTCTTGGCTGGGTCCCAGATCTTCCGGAAGGAGCTCCTGTGGCGCTCGTGCAGCGACAGCGACAGCAGCGAGGCGGCATTGAAGATGAGGAAGAACACGCAGAAGTAGGCGGGCTCGTACCCTCGCTTCTGAAGCAGCTCCGGTTGAAAAAAAACTGACAGATGACGTGACAGCGTTAGGACCACCGTGTTGAGAACGTGATGCCTCCAGCTCCACGACAAGACTGTCGACGACAATGAGACAGTGAACACTGCGAGGAAGGATTTCTCCAAGGGGACGTCCGAGATTAGGTGCTCAGCCATCAGTGCAAAGATTCTGAGTCTCACCATCCACACCATCAGCCTCGATGCCCTCCTCTTCACCTCCCCTGTCCATCGGCTCCACCGCATCGTTGATACCCACCCCACCCCAATCATCCCCATCCTCACAAGCATGAACAAGTCCTCCGCCTGCAGCGGCCGCCGCTTCCATGCTCTTGACATGAAGTAGATTACCTGGAAACAACTAGCGACTGCAAGGATAAACTGCATGAAAGGCACCATCCCGCGGTACATGGAGTCAATGAAAAACTGCCCGTATGCCTCCTCCATCTCCCTATCCTCGAAGCTCTGCGCCCCCGCAGCGCGCCATGGCATAAACACGCTCTCAAGCATGTCTGAGCTCGCCGCGGCCCCGACGCTCCCCAGCCTCTTCCCGCCCCCTCCACGCAAGCCGCCATCGTCGTATCCCCTCTTCTCTGACCTCGATTGCACCCCCTGACTCTGCTCGCTCGAGAGCTCGCGATGCCTCGCGACGTCCTCCCTCGAGTGCGCCGTGTCGGGCTCGTCGATGCTCATGGTACAAGGATGTCACAAGCGCGTGATGTCCTGAAGGGAAGGGAAGGCGATAGGAAGGATGTGAGGTACGAGGCAGGGAACAGACAAGCAGTGCTAGAGGGCGTGAGGGAAGAGAGATGGGATGTGTATGGAAGTAGAGAGGAGTTAGGCGTTGGAGAAGTTGGAAGGTTTGGAACGTAGGATTTGATATACTGTGAGAAAGGAGAGAGGATGGAGGAGGAAGGAGGGAGGAGGGAGGAGGGAGGAGGGAGGAGGGAGGAGGGAGGTAGGGTGTAACGGAGGAATGGAGGGAGTGGCAGTGGCAAGTATTTTATTAGGAGGGATTTGGCTCTACCGCGATAGAAAGGAGGAGTAGAGGGTTGTACCACCCCTGGATCATCGATTCAGTACCCCCTTTTTCCTCAGTACCCTACTCCAAAATACTCCGGACCACCCTCTAGCTCTCTTCTTCTCGGTCTCCTGACCACCGAGCTGCACCTGGTGGTTTTACTGATAGAGGCAATAGGAAAAATAGACCAAGTCTGACAGCCGATCGTTAGACCCCACCCCTCCCCTAGACGGTGCGCATGTCGGGATTGTAGCTGACCCCCCACCCACTCGTGACCCATGAGTCATACAGGTAGTCAGTAACGTGACTTGAGCATGACGTGGGGAGCCAGAAAAGGATATCTTGGAGCTCTCGAGAGGGGGTCCTTGCCCACACCTGGGATGGGTGGGTGGTCAAAATTTAGGGTAGGTAGTGTTTTGGCACGACAAGAGCACCAAGGGCTTTGTGTGGGCGGGTGTTAGTTGTGGGGGTCAAAAATGATAGGTGGGTAGGGGTACTTCATGAGGGGGTGGGGGGTCCCGTACGGTCGCACTGGATATGCGCTCGTTGTGGCCTCTTGTTGAAACCTCCTTCAAATCCTGATTAAAGAAAGTTAAAATAAATAACTTAATTTCACCGGATATGGTCCTGCCGTTTTGCATATTGCCCCGATGGGACACCGAGCCCTCCAGCTATGGAGGAACATAGAAGGAGCAGAAAGGCGGCCGAACATGCCGGAGCGAGGGAGCGAGGGAGCGAGGGGAGGGAGCGGAGGGGAGGGGGGGGAGCGGAGGGGAGGGGGGGGGGGAGCGGAGGAAGCGGAGGGAGGCGGAGGGAGCGAGGGGA